CTAGAAGTCTAATCCAGTGTCTGCTTAGTTTTTAAACTTTGGCAGTCAACTTAAGATGTTAGTTAAAATAAAGTTAGAAGAAATATTTACAAATAAGTGACAATAATTTGGATTTAAATAAATGTATGTAACATGAATAAAACAGGGAATTTCATTATAACTAACTTCAACAGAAAGATTGCAGTGCCTTTTTAATGTGGGGACACTGGTAGTTCGGTCCGAGGTTCGAATCCCATGAACAGGCTGGCTGCATGGGCATTTTCGTGGTTTTCTCCATGTGTAACGTGTATACGAACCAGTTTTCCTTAGAAAGTCCTCCACGAAGGCATCAATCCCCTTAGGCAGATAGCCCTAGTGTGCTTTGCCATAATTAAATACCAAACCAAACCAAACCTCTTTAATGTGGAATTTTTTATGAATATTTTCATTATCTAAAGCCATTGAAAGAAAATAATTCTTAAAGCATGGCAAATCCCGAAAGGAAATTTGCTGTTGGTGACTAAAACCATTTTGTGTATTTTTCCTCCATCCACAGGAATTTAGCAGCTAACTTAATATCTTTCTTTTTGCAAGTGTATAAGTTAAATGCATTTTCCCCTTTAAACCCATTTAAAGTAAGTGCAGATTGCAGTTTTATTGGAAAAGAAGCATTTTTTGTAAAACATTGAAATGAGGGGCAATGCACAAGAACTTGCAAATACTTCTGCTCATTTAGAAGTGTGTATTGTTAAAGGAATTAGATGCTAAATCAGTGGGAAAAGAAAATGGAAAATATGCAAATGTTTTCCATGAAGCAGCTCTGTTTTCATGATATGAAACTTTGTCAGAAGATTTGCTATTGGTGATCAGATTCTTCAGTAAGTTTACCAATGTTGGTCAAAAACACCATATTTAACACTTTTGTGGATTATCCGTAAAATGCACACTGTCCACGAAAATATATATACACCCAGAAGGAAGCAAACTACTATCATGAAACTTAACATTTATATAGTGTATGAGGAAATAAACAAATGGTTACAAATTCAGAACAAAAGATTGTTTTATGAAGAAGTTTTAGCATGAAAAGGGTTACAAATTAGTAAGTACTATAGCCTCCTCTGGCAACTATACAAGCTGAAACACGGCATAGCATCGAATCAAGTAGATCACCTGTGATCCCTTGTGGAAGATCATGCCATAATCTTTGCAACTGGGCAGTTAATTCACCAATATTCTGGGACAACTATAGTTGCCTTCCAAGCATGTCCCAGACGTGCTCTATTGGCAATAGTGGTGACTTGGCGCGCCACTGGACTATGGCCTAGAAGATGTTGGTAGAGTTGCGCAGTATGTAGACAAGCATTGTCTTGCCAATAAAATGGACTTGGGTGACTTGATAACATAGGCTGTACAGCTGGCGTTAAAATGTTCTCCGCTTAACTGCGAGCCATTATAGTGCCTTGAAGGATGCCTAGAGGTGATCGTGTGTTCCAACAAATCACTTCCCCTCACTGTCACACCTTATGTAATCCCTGTATGCCACTCGATAACAAATACCAGATCTGACTGCTGGCCTAGGTGCTTCCACATGCATGTGCTTTGGTAATCAGCATTGAGACTGAATTGGGATTCATCACTCAAGATCACTCGCCTCCAGTCGACAGTGCCGGGATGTGGGGTCAGTGGTAGGCATCTTAACGGACATCGGCAGCATATACCAGTGCTGACCAGTTGTCTTCGAATGGTCTCTCTTGATGCCACTAGATGCCTGTAAAGTGGTAAATGGTGTCGAATCGATGCTAGCGACATTATTGGTGCAGAAGGGACTGCTTTTATGATTGTTCAGTCCTCGCACTCATTTGTGTTCCTGGGATACCCTGACCCTTCACGACTGTAGACCATCCATTCTGTGATCCATTGTCGCCAACACCAAGCAACTACCATATAGCTCTGACCGAGGTGGCAGTTGATATGGCTGTTCAACCAACCTCCTTCTCTGAGGCCTATTATACGCTCCTTCTCAAAGTCTGGCAACTGTTCGTACTGCTGCCAGTTACATATTGGAGGCATCTCTACCCACAATACTATCAAGTTGATAGATTCGTTTGAATAGCCCTACAGCATGAACAATCATGCTTTTAAACTTTCCCAGCTATGCATTTCATATGCACATAGTGTGCTCACCCTTGTCTCATTAGCGTCAAAATTTAAATCATTTGCCAGACTACATTCCTGCCGATTTTCGTGATTATGGATCAACTTCTTCTGAGTGCATGTCTTTTGTGTGTGTCAGAGTGTATTAGCAAATAATTCATTTACTATTATGTATTTTTGACTTTGTCCCTGAGGGACTATTGATTTTGTTTTGCAATTTTGCGTCGAATCACTGTGAATGTCCATTTCACTTTTCAAATTGTTGCCACCAAATATTATTGCCTTGTATTATATTTTAAGAAATTAAATGATGAAGAATCTGCATAAATGTATATATGTTTCTTGCATTGTGATAAAATAACGGTACCTAGAGCCATCCAATTTTGAATGGCGTAATCCTACTGCTAATATGGGCATCTGGAAGCCCAGATTTGAAATTTGGAATTTGTTTTATTATTGATTTCATATTTTGCAAAATTTTAACGAATTTTTGATTAATAAACTCAAGGATTTCAAAGTGAGCAATGGCAATGTTGTACAGAAAAAACATTTTTATATTCAGCGTGTGAGACTGTGTGTTGGAAATTCTAAAGATATGCTCAATTTAAAATTATTTCGTGATATTACTCTTGAATTGAATTTCATGGTTTAAGTGCGAAGAACATGATATTAAATAAATAAAAGTAACACAAAAAATGTTAAAAAAAAACACCCCTTTGAACATAATTTAAAATCTGAAACTTTGCAGATTTTTTTAAAATTAATGCATTCTTTTTATTTTTTAATTATTTTTTTGTTTATGTATTTTTTAGAAAACTTCAGAGTTTAAGGTTTGGAAGACCTTACTCATTAGAGCAATTTCCAAGTCTTTAAATTATTTCTAAATGGCAGAGACTGTCTTGAAAATTTAGCCATATTGCCAGCTTCTTAGCAAGGCAGACAATTTCAGGTGGAGCGCTGTAGGAGACAACTGCTTCGTATAACACTTCACCTGAAAGATTTTTCCTAATTGTAATATCCCAGTGGCATAAGAAACTGTTTGACTTTGTAGACACGTTGAGCCTTGAATTTCAAATGTCCATGCAAAAAATGTACATTGTGCTAAATATTTATACACACCTTTGGATGATGTCAAGCAATTATTTGCATTTCAAGGAGCATGTCTATCTCATTAGATGATAATTACATTAATTTTTTTTATTGCATCAGAAAATAAATCAGTCTGAATGGTTACTTTACAAAATATTGTTTTTGTGCATGTAAAGGCAATTTTTGACATTGGTTTAGTTAAAAAATTCATTTATTCCCTTTTTGTAGATGATGATTTGTAGATTTGTATTTTAAATAGCTAAGAAGTCCTTTCTAATTTATTATTTTTATTTATGGTGTAATGAAATGCTAAAATAAACTAAAAGTTCTCTAATGATTGTTCATAAAATATAGATGTATGCAGTGTGATGGTCTGTATAGGTCTCCGTTAAAACAAAAAATTGTTGAATGTTGTTTCAGTTTTCCATGATATCCCAAATTTTAAAACCAATAGACCTATTTTATGATACCCATTGTAGAGACATTAGGTATTTTTTGAGAGCAGGAGAGATATAAAATAAGCAATGCTCTCAACGGGACTCAAACCACAGGCCTCTCACATGTTAATCTCAACACCACGAAGGCATGCTAAGAAGGTGGGAGAAATACGTTATGTACTCCTCCTTTTAAAGAGCGACTGGAGATTAGGGGACCCAACCGCCAAATCCTGGTGGTGGAGAATCGTCATTCAGGATCTTTTTTAGTTCGGGCACCACTGTAGAAACATTAGGTATTTTTTTAAAGCTGGAGAGATGAAAAATGTGCAATGCCCTCGCTGGGACTCGAACCACGGACCTTTCGAATACATGCCGAGTGTGCTGACTACTACACCATGAAGGCATGCTAAGAAGGTGGAAGAAATACCTTATAACATATTTAATTCATGTGAGAGAAACAGATGACATCTTTTTGTATTGCTGAATATGATTAAAAAAATGATTGATCAAATTTACCGACTAATTTGGAAATTGTTTGCATATTTTTGTAATGGTTAATTAAAATGGGGCATTGCATTTTGGTATCTTTTACTGTAAAGGAACTATAATTCCTTCCTAAAATTATGTTATTGTCTTGTCCATAAATTTCATGGAAGAATGGTTGCCAAGAGCCTCAAGGAGGTTGAACTTCTAATTTCACCCCAATTTTAAGGGAGAGCACCGCAGGGGTATCCGAGGGTCTCACACCCTCTCTTCTACCACCAGTCCACACAAGAGGACTTTTGGCTGACTATATATTTAGAATGCCCCAGGCCACAAAGACCACTATACATTTACAAACATCTATGCCTTCTTCAGGATTCAAACCCGGGACCTTTGATACCGCAGTAGGCTCCTCTAACTGTATACGGTCTGGGCAGTCTCAAATTATGTTGATGGAATCAATTTTGTCCATCAGATGAAATTGCCAGAAAATCTAGTGGTATTCTTCCAGAACGCCAGATATAATTTTAGGAATTTATGTTAAATAATATAGATGCCTCTTCATATAAAATTATATCTGTATTTTTTCATACAGAGGAACGAGAACGCTTCTGCTGGGGGTAAAAAAGCTTCTGTATATGTCTATTTTGTGCGAATTTAAAACCACTGCCATCTAAAAACATTTTGTCAATAATTATTTAAGAATGATTTTCAAAACATTTTTCATAAATATTATGTATCTTAAATTAAGAGTACATTTTATGTTGGTTTGAAAGAGAGAATTTCATGTAGCAATTTTTATGTTCCCAAACTAAACTCATACTGTATATGAATAAATTTTATGAAGTTTTGCAGGATGGTGAAGCTATTGGCATTAACACAATGAAAGTTACCGAAGGGATATCATTTGCCATTCCTTCCGATCGTGCTATAGATTTTCTGAGACGAACTGAAGACAAACAAAAAGGTTAAAAATAAAATTATTGTTATTGATATTTTGTAACCAATATCATGCCATTTAATGCTAAAGTTTTGCATGTTTACTTAATCATGATGTTACATACTTTCTATCATATATTATGACTACTACAATTCATTCATGTTTCTTAAAGCTAAAAAGTGATAAAATTTTTTTACTTTGTGTAGAAGACCTGCTTAAGCTGTATTAAAAATATTACGTATTTTGTAATTAATGATTCTGTGACATATATTTTGTAATACATTTCAACTAATAAACAAACAGTTATATTTGCTTACGTAAATTGTCGAATTTTAAAATGCTAAAATTACTAACATGAAAAAATTTCATAAAAGTATTCAATAATGTTTCAAAAGAAAAGCTGGTATGTTTTCCCCTGCAATTAAGCGCCCCATTTATTAAGTTGATTTTTAAAACTGTGTGTAACAGTTTCCCATTTGAATATGGTTTTGCAGAAATTATTTTGTTTTTTTAAGAAACACTAATTGATATCACACTATCCATACTCCTTCATTTCATAAGCACATTGCAAAAAATCCATGGAGCACTCATAATTTGTCCATAATTCTATTCCTAATTATTAAGCAGATAGAGGCCCATAGTAGTTTTGATTATTTTCGCAAATTTTTTAACATTGAAAAAGAGTTCATTGCTGTTGATATCTTTGAAATGACAGAATAGTTTAAAAAACAGAATTGCAAGCCACAAAAATGGAAAACGGAAAATAGTTTTGCTGACAGTATTGAAAGATCTGAACCGCTTCCAAGGCACAAAAATTACTTTTAATTCTTTTAATAGCAGAATTTATTAATAGAAATGAAGGGTGTAAAAAAATATAAATTTTTTATGCATTTTGATGATGAAGTGAAACAGTTTCTATTGTTTTTAAACGAAGATGACAAATTTAATTCTGCTACACAAGTTTATCATTCTGTCAGAGACATGTCATCAATGTTTCCTAATGTAGAAATTGTTTAAAAAATTGTTTTGACTATTCCTGTTTCTAATGTATCTAACTAAAGATCCCTCTCTATCTTAAAAAACGTAAAAAAACTATTTAAGAAGTACAATGTTAAATAACACCTATATATCGAAAACAGTTGATGAATTTGCTGAAAAGAAGTCTAGAAAAAAAGTTCTTCAACTTTCTACTTAGTAGCCATCTAATTTAATAATCAATTATTTTAATTTTTAAATATTCTATAAAATTTCAGTTTGGTATTTTAGACATCTTTCCCATAGAATATTTTAATTTCATTATATAAATTTAATTTTTATGTATTTTAGTCTTGATGTGTTGGAAATAAATTTTTAGAAATACAAATTTTAAATTACAGATACATTAAGTGATTATGTATACTTAATTATTTATTATATTTTAACACTAATTGATTTTCAAGTATATAGGTACGTAAATGCTTAAAACCCCTAAAAATTTTACCGTCAGCGTCTTCCAAACAGCTTAACCTGCCTCTGACTACTCTAGTAGTCATGAGTACCATAGAATTTTTGGATTTTTAATTAGAGTATAATGTTTACAACAATATTAGAATATACGTTATGCTGTTTTACTGGAAAAAAAATTTTAAATGGCAATAATTATTTTATCTTTTAATTGATGAATGTGCTTATATGCAATTCATGTTAATAAAAAAATCTTTTTTTCTGTTAAGAATCTTGGAGTCCATTTGGTAAATCCCCTGCTGTGACAATACGACCAAAATATTTAGGAATTACAATGCTCACATTAACACCAAGTATTGTTCAGGAACTTCAAGAACGCAATTCAGAGTTTCCTGATGTTCAGCATGGTGTGATGGTGTGGAGAGTCATGTTAGGTTCACCATCGTATGAGTGAGTTCTTTTGCTGTACTAATGAACAGAAATTCAAAAACTTGTTTTGAAATTATTTAAATAATGTAAATAGTTCTAGGTATTTTTTATACTTGTCGGTTCTACTAGCAAGTAATGATTAATCGCCAAGTGATAGAGCAAATTCCCTTTTTTTTTCATGCATAGTAAATCCCACCTGATACAAAATGAGGACAATTTTTAATTTATCTAGTGAAAATGAAACTGTTGCATTTTTTCATAAAAGAAGTATTTTGCATTCCCCTCTAAATTCTGGAAAAGGTGTGAATAAAACTTTTTTTGAGTAGGAAAAACTTTTTTTTTTTACATATCTTAAAATTCTTTTTTAGGTACGTTGTTTAAACTTAACATTTTTTCCTTTGTGCTTTGGTTGCCTGTAAAACTGACCAGTACCATTTGTTCTTTTAACTAGATGAAGAATATTTTTGTTTACTTTTTTTTCTAACTGCAGCTTCTGAGTAATATTGCATGAGCTTCAAGCAAATGTAATCGTTTTCTTTACTCTATGGGTTTTTTTTAAATTCATTATTTATTCATATTATTATTATCTGTGTTTTGTAACAGTTTATGTTTCAGAGAATGGCAATATACTATGTTGTTCTTCTTGTTAGAGAATTAGTGTAACTTTTGTTTTCATCATTTGAGAGTATGAGTAAAGGAATTATTTAATTATTGTAGAGTCATAAATAACTAAAGAGATATAGATAGTTATTTCCGAGTAATAAATAGTTCTTGAGGTAACAAATTTGGTGAGAATTTTTGAACATAATTGTAAACTCAGCTATATCACCCCAGTGACACTAGCAACAAAATTTAGCATGTGGTGAATCGGCAGCTTTTTAAAAATTATGGAATTTTGATTCTACACTTGATATTTCTCTCAGTATTTTTTTAATTATTGGGGTTAAAATAGTATCTGTTGACCATTAACTAACTCATTCATATTTCCTCATTTAAACCATTAAAAGTGTTAGCTCTAAAATGTTTTTTAACTGCAGTACAAGTCACATTATTTTTTTTTCAAGTTTGTATAATCTCTAAATTTATCGATGTTTCGCTGATGGTAAAGGTGTATTTGTAATACCATGCAGGGAAGATATGTTTCACACTCAAAGATGATGTAACAACAAATCTTTAGACATGTGAAGCTGATTAACTCCCAAAATCTTACAACCTTTTACTAGTAACCATTATCTTTCCAATGACATTGACCCTAGAAATGCAAGAATTTGTTGAAGAGTGAGATTTCCTGCATATCTGAAAGATTATGAGTTATAATGCTATCACTGGAAAGGGGAAGTGACAACATCATTTGCATTACTAAAGTGGCTGTCAAATTCTACACATTGTGATTTTCTTTTTGCTCAAATAGCAGCAGTAAAAGTGCTTGGAATAAGAAAATAAAATTAGAGTTTGGTTTCAAACAAAGTAAACTCAGTATCATTTGTTTTACTCCTGCTTTCTTGTTAATAAAATTATTCAAAGAAGTTTGTTCTCTGTAATACACTGAAGACCAATAGAATTAGCGAGAGCTGGCATTATGCAAGTTTTGAGCCGTGTGCAAGCCTAGAAGTGACTTGCAAATAACATAAAGAGCAGTTTGACAAGATAAAAAGTGCTGATCATGTTATCAGTAACAGTCCAAAGCAAAATGTGTAGGAGTACAGATCTAAATGCATTTGATCATAGCCAAATCGTCGTGGGCCTGACAAATGAGTCAATCTTTTTTAAGTAGTGCAGACACTCGAATTTTCATGTGCCACTGTGTCAAGTGTGTACAGTGAGTTTGTCAATTCTGATAAACCATCCTTGCCAGGTTCAGATGCCACGGACAACAGCATGTGGATGACCGAGGTCGGCATCATCGGATGCCGACCTCGATTGTAACAGTGGATGCCGACCTCGGTCGTAACAGTGGATAGACAGGCCACAGTGCAACAGATCACCTATCATTCACTCTAATGCACAGCGATGTGTAAGCTGCCACACCATATAAAATCATCTACTCTGTATGGGGTATAGGAGCCATCATCCTACAAGAGTCCTTGCACTGACTGCCCAAAACGTGGCACAACAATTAGCATGGGCATGGGCACATTGCCATTAGACTGTTGAGATGTGAAGAAATGTTGCCTGGAGTGATGAGTTGAGATTCACTTTGGTACACGACAATGGCAGAGTATGTTTACTATGTAATCCACATGAAGCGATGGATCCATCCTGCCAGCAGGGTCTCTTCAAACTGTTAGAGGTGATATTCTTGTCTGAGGAGTGTTCACATGGACTGAAATGGTACCCCTGGCACATGTGACATTATCTGTCACAGATGAACATTACCAGGATACCCTCGACAACCATCTGCCCCCCTCCCCATATGCTCGTTTTCGGCAGCCCACTATAGAGATTATCTTTTAACAAGACAATGCTGTATGCCATCGCTCCCAAATTTTATTAGAATTGTTGGATGAACATTTCACAGACCTGCACATGCTTTCCTGGCCATTAAGGTCACCTCATCTGAATATGATCAGGCACATCTGGGATGCAATTGAGAAAGATGTTCGAGGTTTGTCCTTTAATCAATGAACCTACATTGTTTACTCCTGATATTACAACTAGTTACCTTCTACTGATGTATATCCTTTAAAGTGAGTGTGGATGAAAGAATATTCTGACCTCAGATGGCCAGCCAAATATTAGATTAATTGGTTATTTACAAGAGAAGCTGCGAGGAAGATAAAAGATTAAAATTGTCAGTTGAGGAGTTTTTGCATAGAAAAAGATTATATAGAATATCTTTATATGTGTATAACAGAAAATTAAGAAACACAGCAAACTATTCTCCAGGTTCTGTTAGTTGATATTTAAAAAATATGTTTGTTTAGCGAGAGCAGATATGACTTGTTGGCTTATTTGTATTGTAAGAAATATTTAAGAAAAACTAAACTCAGTGGCGCAACAGCCCTACTGATCCAAGGCCTGCAGTGCCCTGAAATCTGCTTTCTTGACCATGGGCCCCGGGGTGCATCAGTGTATGCCCTAAACAAGTGGTCAGCTTGTCGCAGGACCCCCAGTGTTTAGTCCCCAGTGAACTAGGTACTCATTTTATCGACCCACTCAAGGAATGAAAGGCTGAGTCAACCTTACCCAGCCCAGGGATTGAAACCCGGACCTGTGGTGCAGCTGCGCAGCACACTAGCTGCTTCACCACCGGGTGGTAAAAAAAATATTTATTTGTACTATTTCAAAAAGCTATGTCTTTTCACCATCACTATAAAGGCACTTCACCACTGCACATAATGCACAGAAACTTGCATGCAAGTCGAAGTGCATGTAAATTATAATGTAATATCTGTTAAGTTATAGACAATACATTCTTGATATGTGCCACATATTTAAAAATTAGCTGGCTACATAAATTTAAGGTTAATATTAAAGGACAGCAGAATTTACACCTACAAGTATGGATTTGTTTAAAGCAAACAAATTACTGAATTATATTCCTTTTTTGTTTAAAAAGAGAATGCTGACATGGGTGCAAAAAATGATAGAATAATTTCATTAGTAAAATTAATTCTTTTCTTCTACCACTGTACATTAAAGAGTGTTTTTACTGAAAAATTAATTTTTTTATGTACATAAGAAAAAAGTGGCATTAAATTTGCTGTCTTGAATTTTCTGAAAATGAAATTTTTTTTACATTCAGAATTGAGTGTGATTGACAGGCATCTGTGGATTACGCAGTCATGGGTTATCAGATGCTGTTATTATAGTAAATTATCTTCATCTGCTCTATCCTGCACCATAAGCCTCCACTATTTAATGGCTCATGAATCAATTTAATCTACCACTATCTCTGCCAGTGTGCTTTTTCGATGTCAAAAAGATTAAAAATCCAAAGATAAAAAAAGATGGATTTTTTAATCCATCTTTTTCATCCCTCTAACTTAAGTTTACAACGAGTATATACATCACGTGATTATTTTTGTACGTGCAACATAGCATGATTCTTAAAACATTGCTGTGCAACAAAAAATTAACTATGTGAACTTTATTCAAAATGTGAATCGTAATACTGATCCTCTCACCAATACTGAAAAGGAACTTTGGGAAGCAGCTGGATTGTTGTCATGAAATATATGAAGGGGCAAAAAAGATAACCGTAACCTTTTCCTGAGGGCTGGGACATATATGTCCGGCATGATCCCTACTTTAAATGTGTTTCAAGGAACTTTAGTAAACTTATTGAGATTTAAATTTGACACCTTAATATGGAGTATGAAGTACAAGATCCTGTCAATTTTTTTTCTGCTCCTTGCTTTTAAAATAGGTGACTAAATGGCCCTAATAAATACAAAATTGGTCTCAATAGCCCACGGGAAGAAATATTCTGAGATTTAGGAAACTATTCCCAGTTTCAATGAATTATTCAAATGAATTGCAATGATTCAACTTCTAATTTTAATTAAAGATACTGCTTATATGTTATCGTGTTTTCTTTATATTAACTAATTTAAAGAAAGAATGCTATAATTTTATAAAATGTCTGCATAATAAAAATAAATTATTTACAAATACTGTAAAAGTTTATACATTCTTAAAATTCATTTTATATTGAAAAGCTTAATTTATAAAAATGTTATCAAAAGTATCAAGAATAAAATATGTCCCTGATTTAGAAGCAACTTTTGCTGGGACTGCTAAAATGGCATTTGTTTCATGTCAAGGACTTCTTATATTTATCATAGCATTTCTTTTTAGGGTTACTGTAGGTTTAGATATTTGTTTGGTATAATTTGATAGATTTTAGTTATTCAAATCTCATTTACATAGAAATTAATAGGAACTGCTTTTTTATTTTAAACTAATTTCCTTATGAAAGGTTTGGAGCACTCTGGCGCAGCAGAAGTTAATATCTTGTTATACATAGCGTATTTGAAAAATATTGTTATAAGTTTTTATTTCCTTTAATAGTTACTTTAGTATAAGCTTTCAGTTACAAAGTTCTGTAAGATAAGGTCGATTTATTTTTTAATTCAGTGTTGGTCCTATTTCCCCTGTGTGCGTATCTATAAAAACTATTTTGTAAAAAGAAATTAAATTTTTTATATGATCCATGTTAAGAAAAGAAATTTAGTCAGCATTCATTATACTTTGATAAGTTAGGTGCAAAAATTTATGTACTCTTAAATACAATATTGCCAAAAGTATCAGTAATTACTAGATCCATAAAGATCAGTTGGGAGGTTAATAAGGATTACGGTTATGTCAAATGTAAAATTAACAAACTCCAAAATGAATAACTTTTATCTTCTGATCTTCCCTTAAATATTATCAAAAGCATTGAAAAATTATATAAATAAATTCATTCACATATACATTAGTTTTGCACACGATGGTGTAAAATTGTGCTTTTAAATAATTGAAGTTTAGTGAACATTTAATTAAAAGGGCTTTTTGCTCTATGAGGGCCACATAAATATTAAATTTTGTATTTACATAACTCTCATATTCCGTCTTCTGAAACTTGTTATAGAAATTGTAGTGTTTTTAAAAAAGTACAGTATTTAAGGGAGAAAGAGGCCTGTAGCCAACATTTTTGGACAGCCTGTAGAATGTATTTTAAGAAGAAAAATGATGGTGTTAAACGTATCCTGTGAAAAATTTCAGTGTTTGTTGAATCATAATTTTTTAACCAGTCTATGTAAACTTTAATTTTCTCCCTTATGTGGGAAAAAAATTCATTTTTTTTAGATCTGGTGTCAGGCCTGGAGATGTAATAACAAATATAAATGGAAAAGAAATTTATTCTGCATCTGATATTTATAAGCTTCTTGGATCTGAAGATATTCTTAACATCCATATTGTGAGAAATAGGGAAGAATTTGATATTACTGTGAGACTTTTTGATCCTGTAACATCATGAATAGATTAGACACTGGCTTTAAGTAAGTAAAAGTATATTTTTACTATCCATATTATTCTTATTTATGACTCTTGCATACATATTTACTTTTAGGCTACCTAAGGGAAATTTTGTTGTAGCATTTGTTATTACTTAAATCAGTGGTTTCTAAACTTTTTCAAGTTGAAGCACCTTTTTTCAATTAAAATTGTACCTTGGCACCCTACCCTGGGTAAAAGTATGATTAATCATAAGCAAGAGATCAAAATTAATAAAACTCATGTGTCTTCATCATGTAGCTTTTTTTTATTGTTAACATTAAATTAATAACTTATGTGGTGGATGAGCCTGCAAATCACTATTCTTGCTCTAGACCTGCTTTTTATTACAGCGACCACCAAAAAACCAGCTTCACGTAAATACAACATTAAATATGGAATTAAAAACCACTGAGTCTTATCACTTAGAATATATTTGTCTTTTATTGAAATCCAAAATCCTGTCAATGCCATGCTAAATTTTGCTTTCAAACTATTTAACAAGATAACTCAATAAGATTCTCTTCTTCTGCAGAAGTAAATTCAGACAGGGCACTAGTATTAAATGGATTTTGAACCCATGCAAACTTATCGAAATTTTCATTTTGAAAGTATTTCTCGAAACCAGATAATTTGCTGTGATAAGTGCCCTTTACACATGGTTTTTATAGCTTGAGAAAGATCAAGTTCATTTGATGTCAAAAATTGTTGCAATATTAAAAAAAATCTTTGCCTGCATCTTCATTCAATTTTCTTCTCCATAGTTTGAGTTCTTTATAAAAGCTGATAATTTTTCCCTGCAGAGAGACAATAAAGGAATTCAGCTTTTCAAAAATATCGCATAAATATGTCATTTGTATTAATAAACTATTTTTTGCATCTTTGTATCCTTCTTCATTAAGAAAAATTAAAATCTTTTTGCTGCAATTCAAAGGTATGTCTTAAAACAATACCACAACAGAACTATCATACTGCTGTAGTACAGCAAAGATGAGTTTTCGACTCTATATCAAGTTTTTTAATAAACCTTCCTTTCATTGGATGAGATTTTATAAAATTTACTAAATTCAACACACAGTCTAACGCCCGATTCAGTGCAGGACTAAGATGCTTTGATGCAAGCACTTCGAAATGAATAATGCAATTAGCCCCCAGTGCATTTGGTGATTTACTTTGAATAAGTACCCGTAATTCGCCATAGCAACCAGATATGAAGCGACTGCATTATTACAGACGCCAATGCACTTAAGCCAATTCAAATTATTTTCAGATATGAATGTTTCAGGAATCTCAAACAAGTCCTGAGCCTTTGCTCCTGCACTGGTATATTTAGAAAACAGAAGGTCTTTAATATTATTAGCGTTTATAAACTGTACATAGCATATCAAATGAGCATCCTTATTATTATCCATAGCCTCATCTACCTGCATTCCAGACTTCACTCCTTTAATTTTTTTCAGTTAATTGATCGCTGAGATCCTTTGCCGTAAGTTGTATTTTCACTGACTAATTTTGTTATTGAACCAAAGCAATGTGGTGAAATATTTGCATTCCGATGAGAATATTTGTATTTTAACATTTGCAAGCAGTATCCATTGTTTGTTGCGCTGTACCCGTGTGCATCGATTCTACTGTTAGTATAAAGACTTAAACTTTTGCTGAGAGATTCGTTTGGCACTTGTACTTTACTGCTTCCGCTTGTTCACGATCCTTATTGGGCATCTGCTTTTCATCATGTTTGTAATTTTGTGCTTTTACTTTAAATTTTAAATGAAGTTAATTTTATGGTTTACTGAAGTCTTCGGCTTTCCTTTTGATGAACTTTCTGACAAGTTTGGAATATTGTGGCATTAAACCATCACCACAATACTTTTAAAAGCAGCTTCCCAGCCGATTCACCAACTATGATATTTGCCGTATCTATAGCAGAGAGTAGAATAAGTTTTGTGATGGTATGAGGCATCTTTATTTTCGCCATTCTGTGAGTCATCTTGTAAGATGCTAGCAAAACATTGTTTGGTATTGATGCAGTCTTAAAGTATGTATTTTTTCTTGTTTCCATTTTTTTAACTTCATGGGGGAAAAATCACAAGGTTTGCCAGCCATGCTGTGGTGATTAGCTTCTAGCTAGGCGTCTTTATTTTTGCCATTCTGTTAGCCATCTTATAAGATGCTAGCAAAGCATTGTTTTGTATTGATGCAGTCTTAAAATATGTATTTTTCTTGTTTCCATTCTTTAACTTCATGGGGGGGGGGAAATCACAAGGTTTGCCAACCATACTGTGGTGATTAGCTTCTAAATATGCATCAATTTACTTGGAAGTATGCACTCCACTGCCAACAACACAATACATATTGTGGTCTCTCCTCAGCATTCATTTCTGTTGACGTAAAGCCAAGCTCTAAATAACTGTCATTATATTTATGATAGTTTCATTTCTTCATGGTTGTGTCACTGGTTGAAGACATACTTTCTTTAACTGCGCTATTGCGTTTAATTACTGTTCAAAAATCAGTCCATCATCAAAGATACAAGAGCAAAAAATCACAAAACTATTTATCAAAGATAATAAACGGGAATTAACGTAATACTAACTATACTACATGAACTAATTTATATCACAGTTATTACAAAGCACTGAGTTTAATTTTACTGGACTTGGATTATAAACCAACTGACTGAATTGCATTGGCAACACTTGCTTATATGCTTTTTGCAAGATCTTCCAAAACAGCTTGACGTGTTTGTACTAGCAGTTGGCCTAAGCTGAGAACACTGGATATAGTAGAAAGTATATACGTCCACCATAGAATATAGTTTTATCATTTCGAGAGGTCATACTGTAAATAGTATGCTATGAAATACAAATGTTATTGAGCAAAGAGAACAAAATGAAAAAAATGTGTGGAACGATAAGTTATATTGCATCCAACTTTTTATTTAAAAATTTGCTAATATTATGTCAATCATTGGATGATCAATATGAAGATATCCCCCCCTTTTTGGCATTATTGGTGAAACTTCAAATTTCTGCCACCCCTGGCCTCACTCCACTCTCGATAAGAAAAAACAACATTCACTGAGCAGGAGAAAAAGAAAGCAGTTGTTATGGCATCAGTTTCATTTAGGACTTAAGTATATAATTTCAAAACTTTGCAATGCCCCTGTGAAGAGGCCATGACTCCCCAAGAGCACACGGTTCTTCAGCACATGGTTTGGGAACCACTGGTTTAAATCATTAGTGTTGAATTAAAAATATATTGCATACATTAACAAAGTAGCTAGATATTCTCACATTGCTGTCAGTTTAATTAGATGCTTAAAGCTTCCATTGTTTAAAGTATAGTTTTATACTCTTCATGAAACATCTTTAACTCTTTGAAGACCATAACGCCTCAAATGGCTGTACATTCAAACAACCACATTTGCCCAAAATGGCTGAAATTGTGACGTTCTTTTCTTCCCTTCCCCTAAGTTATCCAGTAGCAGGTGCAGGTTCCCCAAATGCATTTTATCAGTTTGTTGTGCCGAAAGCTTGTCTTAAAAGGATTTATTTGTGATTTTGTAGTTTCGTGTTAGGAAGTAGAAAGGATGTCATTCACCTTTAGTATGTTAATGGATGGGAAGGGGAGGAAACTGCTGTGAATCCTTGAAAGGCATTTCGGGTGCTTTGGTATTTTTAGCATATATGTTAGCGACATTTTTGGTTTTCAAAGAGGTAAAAGTAACTGGGATTTCGGCAAAGAAAATAGTGAATTTCAACCAAATGCACTATAATAACAAATACAGTCATACCCATTTGTCACCTCTAGGTACATAGTAAACTTGAGTAAGTAATTAAGTGAAGTGAACTGGTTTGGCAGAAGGGACTAAACAGACAAGTAAAGTATTGGGAGCTCGAATTTATGCTCGTTGTTGATGGGGAGTGGGCAGTAGTTGTACTGATGCAGCATAGTTTATAGCAACATGAGATGTATTTAACAGTAGAAACATTAGGCTTTCAGATTTGTGTATAACTTCAAGTGGAGTGAAAAGAAACATACCTATATAGTGACTTGAACATGTTGGCTTTTGTACCTACAAAACAGCATTAGTGAGAAGTGTTACTCTTCTGCTTTTATCTCAAGAAATCTACTGCAGAAAGTTATTGTTTGCTAGTGGAAGCATATGGAAAACATGCTGTGTTGGAAATAATGTGCAGAGAGTTGTTTCGACAATTCAAAAGCAATGATTTTGTGATAAGCGACAAAATGCATTCTGGTCAGCCAATAAAGTTTGATGAGGGATAATTAAAGGTATTACTGGCAAAAGATTCATCTGAGATGCTTAAACAGTTGTCTGAAACACTGAATATGGATATGTCAACTGTTATTGATCGTTTAAAAGGTATTGGGATCATTCAGAAATTGGGAAACTGGGTACCACATGAATTGATAGAAAAGACTGCAAAATGCTTAACCATTTGTGAAGTGTTGCATGAAAGACAAAAATGGAAGTCAATTTTGCATTGGAATCATGCTCACATCATGGCAAACCATCAACATCAATGTCAAAACAAGATATTCATGGCAAAAAAATTATGCTGTTCATTTGATGGGTTCAACTCGGTGTAGTGTAACATAAGCTGCTATAACAGGGTCAAACGGTGAATCCTGAAGGCTATGAAGCACAGTTACTCAACCTAAATCACCTACTTAAAGATAAACACTTGCAATATGATCAGAGACATGATAAAGTAATTTTGCTTCATGACAATGCCAAATTACATGTTGCAACATGAGGCGAAGGAAATATTTGATGGGATGTCTTACCTCATCTGACCCCCTTCTGATTGCCATTTGTTTTGGTCCATGCAGCATGGTCTTTCTGAACAACATTTCACATCTTTTAACATTCTCAAAAACTGTCTCCATGGGTGTATCATCTCAAAAGAACTAGAATTTGTTTATCAAGTAATCTATTTGTTGCCCAAAAAGTGGGAAAAAGATTGTAGATGCCAAAGAA